AATGAAAAAATTTATTTTGCAGCAAATTTATAACTTTTTGCGTTACTGACTGGTAGCATATGGTACCAATTCAGTGTGTGCAGCAACAAACTTATCCAACTCTTGACCTATTGCTTTTGACCGAGGCGTTGTTCTTGTCTGCTCACTTGTAATTCAAGTAATCCACACAAAAGTCCCTTCTGTAGAAGTAACCTTCGACGAAACCGCGACAGGTGTGATATTGTATGATTGAAACGCTCCGTCCACTCCCATATCCGTTTATCCCCCCTGTACATAACATTACTGCCTTAAAACGATATGTGCCAACATCAGAACATTTATGTCCTCAAATATAAGTTATTAAAAAATGTCATTTTTTAGACACACTCAGTATTTGGTAAAGTCCAATTTCAGATTTGTATTTAATAGCAAATATGAAAACTTTGATTTTACATAGCATTGTATGTAGTCCAAATTTACTTACTTTTGAATCAAATTTCATTTAATTTGTCGTTCGGAAAATTTATAATTATCCTTCAATGTCCATTTTTGGTCACAACATTTATCCATGGCGAGCTTTGTTCAACTTTGTACACCGCGAGATAAACGTGAATGCATATTCTTCGACTATTTAACGTACGCATTGATAAGAACCGCAGCCTGCGCAGTCTTCAAAATGTGCAACTAATTTCTGTAAATTGTTCATTTTTGCCTTCTCAATGTGATCCACTAATCATTTCACGTCAGCTCAAACCTTTTATTCACTTTCTTAATTTTTTTCATCAGAAAGTAACTGCAAAATGTCAAATAATTTCTGACTGCAACTGTTCCTCTAAAAGTATTTAATGGTTTTTTGCATATTTTTGAATGGCAAAAAATTGCTTCGGTCGAAATTATTCAAAAATATCACTCAAAGTACAGTAATACTTCGATCTTTTACTGTATAATTAACTCTGCCTCTTATCTGTTTTTTCCTAATTTGGACTTTACTTCGTTCGAGATAAGCGGATTAGCTTTCTGCTGCATTCTGCCGAATATGCCTTCCATCGGTTTGCCTCCGCAAATGTGCTAATTCTCTCAGAGGTAATCTCGATGGGTTACGGTGTGCGACGCTCTCAGTTTCAAATTTTTTCAAAAGTTAATATTTGAATCGAAGAAAATTTATGCAATGCAAAAAGCGCGAAAACGACTTTGCAAGAAATAATTATTTCGATAAAAAATGTTTTCTCGCAATATCCCTTGACTTACTTTTTGAGTTGAACCTGACATTACCACTGAATCAAATTTCAAACGACTCTTTCTTGCTTTGAACTGTGTATTTATCCGATGACAAAATTCAGCTTTATTGACCTTTCAGAAAATCTGAACTACTCGAAAGGATTACCAATCTAACAAATAAGTCTTAAAAAAGTTCTAACTTATTCGAATACATTTAAGTGACGTGAAAACTTTCGTGTATATCTCTCAAGCTATTAACAGCACTGTTTCGGTTACGCGCATTTTTTTCAATAATTCATCAGATTAGTTTAGCTTTTTCGACGCTTGATTTGTTCTTTCTCACGAAACTGTCTTTGACTTTTGGGCTTCCGCGATGAATGTCTGAACTGTACGCCAGCTTCCATCGGCGATTTCAACAAATTTCGAATATTCGATTGAGCTTTACGTTTGGATGACGTGGACTGCGTTTCAGCAACGTGTAAACTTTTTCTGCTAGCATAAGTGGAAGTCGATGCAGACTGCTGTGAAAGTCTTCGGCCCATTTCAGAAAGTTTTGGCACTGCTCCAAGTAATCTGCTGCGTCGAGATTTTTTTTTAATCGCTGTGTTACTTGCAAGACGTGACGATTTCGTCTGAGTCTGACTAACTGCCTTGTTTTTTGAGTCTTGGTCACTGTGCTGAGTCACATCGACTAGCTGCCTGCTTTTGAAGGGCACAACTCTGTCCACCACAGTTCTTTCTTCCCGAGTGACCTCTGCAAGTGATCTTTCCGCATTCTTTCAAGCGATATCAATAAATATCGGAGTTGGCTATTTGAAAATAAATTGCATACCTTCCTGAGTTTGGGCCAATCGTTTAATCTGAAATGTCTTTTCCTGACAAAAATGCTTGTAATTTTGAAGAATTTCTACAGATGTCAGGTGAATCGTTTCGAGTTGTGAGAAGGGCACAAAGTCCGCACTGTCTGTCCGGCACCGATTCAGTTGCTAGCTGGCTAACAGCAAAATAGTGCGAACTTTGACCTCCTCTCCCATATCAATTTTCAGCTATTTTTTAGTTCATTCCACCTTCATTTTTGCAAGACAAGCACTCAATTTTAGTTGAATGACAAAATCAAGCAAATATTAGGTATTTCGAACTGTGTTATTCTTATTTTTGCAAAGCCAGTTGTGATCTTTCCAAAAAACAAATTGATCAGATCAGAATTGCTCAAAACAATTATCAGTAGAGCAGAAGTGATCAATTTTCATTCGCAAAATATGTAATATTTATGAGGTAGAATCTTTACCTGTTCTATTCTCTTAGCATTGTCTGCTTGACCTGCTCTGCTCAGTTCCACCACAAGCTTCTGCAATAACATTTATTGTTGATCGGAGGAGCTCAGACCATTCGGTTTTAATTTCTTGACTTCACGCAGTAAGGCACTCAAGTGACGTATGCTGCGGATAAATCAGTTACGAATGTATTACTCATTTTCAGAAGTAAGCGAATGACTCACGCATGACTCATAAAACACGGCACTAATTGAGGATAAAGAATTATTCACCACAAATTTTGAGTCCAATTGCTTATGCTCAGATGGACCCATCACTGACTTCATTTTCTTCAAAACAGTAATCCGCTTGTCGATTTCGTCTATTGTTTCTGCAAGCGTCCGTTCTCTTTCCTTTTCGGACTGCTTCTTGACCACTTGCTGGTTTAGAAAGCAGTTATCATACATTCTTCACAAACTTCCATCTATTTCAAATCAGACGAAAAGTGAGTTTAGTTCAGTTCTGTGATGGCAAAAAGAATTAATCATTCTGAGTCAGCCTCGAAAAGCCACGTAATACTTTGTGCTTTGTAAACGTTTCTT